TGCCGAATAGGCCATTCGCGCGTGGACAAGGAAGAGGAGACAAAGCGAGAAAAGCCTTTGGCCTTAAATACGCTGCACCGACAGGTGGCGGCATTCTGCTGTTGTCGAGACGAGATTCTGCTACCGACACGAGAGCGCACTGCCCACGACAGAAGACTGAGCTGCAGACAAGACCAAGCTGTCGGACACACAGAGCTGATGTGCAAGCAGAAACAGTTAAAGTAAACTATTATCTGCTACCCTAGCTGCCTTCTCTTCCTAACGGCCGGTTTTAGGGGCCCAACCAATATATTCGCCTAGTGCTCACTTCAGATGTTGAGAACGGCTGGGCGCAAAGATTAATATTAAAAATGTGAATCCCTGACAAAAACAAGTTAGATGAGAATAGGAGAGACATAAGCTGAATGGAGCGCAGACTCACTTGGACACAGGCATCAAGAGTCTTGAACAGGATGTGAGCACGCTTTTTCATTATCTTGACATCCCGCTCAGTGGAATTGGAATGCTGCCCGTTCTTTATTGGATTGATGAAACGATTGGCAAACTCCTTGGCCGAACCCAATAAGTTCGGCTTCACGAAGTTAACCATCGTCCAGTCTAGAAAAGAGTACCATATTGCGGTTGGTTTACAAATAACATAAGCTGGAAAGAGAAAAGAATCATCTGAAAGTGTCAAATTGGCTCGTGTTCTTTGCCTTTGTAAGAATAAAATCAGGAAACCGACGATGATGCGGTTGGCCTCTTTAAAAAAAAGAAACAGAATACCCAGAACGAACAAGCTTCTAATAACGACTAGGCTGTTGCGTCCGCCGATTGCAGTCCTCGGCATATAAATATTGCTGGGCAGCCCTATAAATATCGACCGCTGATTGTGGCGAGGTACAGCGTCTGTAGCACAGGCGCGCTCGGGATCTAGTTTAGTAATAGTACACCTGCGCAACATACAACGAATTCTCTCCTCTCCCATCTGGGCCCGTTGTCATGACCAAGTCAAGGACACCGGACACCAGAGAGGGCGCGGCTGGCGGGAGCCCGCAAAAAGCCGTGCCACCACCCCCCCCTATGCGGCATTTGTTGTTCTCAGTAACCCCATGCCATGCCCTGCCCTAACCCCCCTCCATTTAGTCAAGCAAATTTACCGTGCGGCCCGTTTATGGAGCACGACCACCGCACACACATATATACATAGGAGCACTCACATTCGCCGAGACTGTTCTGCAGAGGAGTGCCAGTAAGTACTATCCGTTTCGGAGTTTTCAGTTTGGACACAGCCTTGGTAATGCCAGCTTTGCAGTTCTTAAGCAGATGGCCCTCATCACAGACCACAATATCCGGTCCAGGATCAATTAATGCCTTCGTGAGCACCTCCTTCATAGCGGGTCTGCGGGTACGCTTAATGGTGGTGGTCGTCAGGTTACGGTAGGCATCATAGCCGAGAAGGAGGACACCGCCCTGGAAAGGAAGAATAAGAGTGGGAATGGGTGAAGAGTGCAAACATATTACTCAAACAAAAAGTAGTACTTGAGTCTGCATAAATCGAGAGTGGCCAGTCTTGGCTTTCCCTCAACACTTGTTCTCGGGTTAGGGGGAGCTGAGATTTGCGTCTGAATGAACAGTGGGGCGTTGGACTTTAAGACTACAGTCCGGCTAGGTCGTGGTTTGTTGAACAGTGATTGTGTACTGGCTGATACGGCGTTTACTGTAACTGACTGACCCGCCTCCACATTGTAAATTCACCTCCTCCGGAGCGGATATCTTCCTTTGACATCGACCAGCGGCACAATGAAAGGTGAGTTTGATCCATATGGAAAAGCAATCCCGTAGGGACCGAGTCGACTTGAAATTCGACTTTCACAATGCTCATGCGCTTCCTAAGCTGACCATGTCAAAGTTGCCGACAGTGAAAGCTGAGTTTGGACAAAATGACTGACTGGAAAATTCTGAATTAAGACCGGTGTAGCACACATGGTCAAACACTCTGCGTCAGCAGGAATGGAGGGTACAAATGACGACTGTTCCTGATCAGTTGTACACTCATTCGTTGGAGAGGGGAATCTAGAGAATGGAGGGCACACACTAACCTTATGCACGCACAAGCCATGGGTAAAGCCCTACCCAAGGGCCGTCGACGGAGATCGCGTATATTCACAACTTAGTATTTGGGCAGAGTTCATAAGAGAATTCGAAGGGGACATGACTAGGGCCCAGGCAGCGATCGAAAGGCACTTGGTACCACAGACTGTTGCTCCCCCCCGTATAAACGCGTATAAATCCCTCATTTCTGATAGCCACGCCGCATTAGGTATCATGTGCTGAAAGACTGAACCTGGAATTCGGATCTGATTACTCTCAACAGGGGGTCGGGGCATGGTGAACATGTCCGCCAACTTTTCTTCACGCAGTTCAGCAATTGGAAAAACCTGGGAAACTAAGTTAGACAGACTTGCTTTCTGCTGGTGTTTTGACGGTACAGAACATGAGTCAACACTCTAGGCGCCCTTGGGTCAGGAGGACAAAGGGACAACAACACGCGATAGCGCCAGGTTACGCGCGACACCACACGAGGGCACAAAGAGTTACGCGCACACGAAACAGCGCTGCCGGGTTGTGTCACCCTGAGGTCACCAACATCACACGACGGCCACCCGGATAAGCGGCTCGCGCAGGGACCAATAAGAAGACATAGGGTACAAAGAC